CACCTAAACTTGTGTAAAAATAGGCTTTAATACCAGAAATACTTTGTAATAAAAAAATTATTACCAGCAATAATTTTTAAAGGAAAAATTATTATCAGCAATACTTTAAAAAAATAAAAAAATACCAGCAATATAAACAGTTATACATTCTTTGCAAAAAAAAATATGACCAGCTATAGATTTCTTCAAGGAAAAATATTCCCAGTAATAGATTTTAGAAGAAAAATATGTTACCAGCAATAAAAATTTTGTCGGCATTAAATAACCCATTGAGGTTGATATGCTGTAAACCAAACCAAACCAAACCAAACCAAACCAAACCAAACCAATTTCAAAATAAAGATGAAATATTATTGGCAGATCATGAAAGCTCTTAGAGAGATGTGATTAAATATACTTTAATGTTTAAAAAATGTTTATTTAGTATTATTATTGTTTAGGTAATAAGCATTTATAACATAGCACAAATAGCTGCATATGCATCTTTTACATATTTATGGTTATTTTTTAACTTTTACCCTCTGTTATCATTCCATGGAAAAGGCCTGATTTAAAAGAAATAATATCACAGGATGCAATATTTGAAATATGCTCTTTTGTTAGAAACAGAAGATTATCAAAAACAAGGACTGTCGTGAAGGACATGTTTTTTCTTCTAAGTCATGGCTATCTTAATTTTGATGAAAATGATGGAAAAGATTTTAAAGCAAATTTAAGATTCTTACAAAGATTCAGATACAAAAGCGATTCTAACTCTTCTGATTTTATTAATTAATAAATTTAAAGCTATACATTAATTACTAATGTTTTTAATTAATAACTATTTTTGCCCAGTTTTTGACATTAATAGCTATCTGCTGATGTGTTAAAATTTTGGAATAATGCAATAATAAAAATTTAAATTTCATCTGTCTGATAGATGTCGCGATCTGTGAAGTCGATTACATTCAACAAAAGTAACCGTTCATTATTAATAACTAGTCTCAAACTTTATATTCTTGATTGCATATTAAAAATACTATACATTATTTGACATTGCAATTTTACATTGGCATTACACATTGCTGACATCTGACATACAGCGTTCTACCACATTGGATTTATCTTTCAAACAAAATATAATGACACTTTTAAAACAATGGGCTGCTCAAAATATATAATGGAATGTTCTAGCTATCAGTTCTTCTTTCTATTAAGCCATTTTTTATAACAACAGTCTATCTATCAATCAGTTTGTGCCTCTTGTTACCTGTTCATGTCTGTAGGATTTTGGCAATAGAATTCTCTCTTCAGTGTGAACTGAAGCATTTAAGTGGGTGCTTCGAAAAGTTTCTGACTCAGACACATCCTCAATGCTCTATCTATAGACACTTAAATTCTTGCAAATTGTCTCAGCCTCTGTGAACTATTTCAAAAATATCACTCACTACACTCTCTACAAACATTTCTCTTGAGATGCACAAACCAGAGCAAAGTGCCCCACCCCAGCCACCCTGCCAGCCCAAAACTTGATATACCCTGAATAAGAAAACCTTCAGCAGGTGCTTCTGATAAAAAAAAAAAAAAAAAAAATTGCGCACAATGAAATTGTATTGGGGGTGATGGGAAACAGATTTGATCAAGTTAATATGTTCTCTGGGGAATTATATGAACTTGTATCATCGTAGTTGTTGTTTTTACTGAAATGTTTCTGCCAAGTGTTATCTAGCTTTCATCATCTGTCGACTGTACTTAGTAATCTGCGTGCATGTCATTCAGTGTATATACATTCAATATACGGTAATGTTAATATTAGCTGTTTCCTTATTAGGAAACATTTGGCATTTATTGACCAAGTAGCCTGTTACATTTTTCTTCACTTCCAGGACATCAGACTCGGATCAAAGTGTAGTATCTGTCCTGCCCATCTTTAATTATAATGTTAATATTAGCCAATTCCTGATCAAGAAACATTCAGCATTCACTGATTGAACTGTCAGTGCTACAAAATTTATGCTTTTCTTCACTCCTAGGACATTACTATGGGATCAAAGTGTAGTATCTTCCCTTAGATGGATAAACTAAATTTTATATCTCAATAATATCTGCATTTTTGGACAGAGAGCAACTTTATTGTGTCTGTGTCTGTGGACAAAATGCAACTGAAATTATTATTGAGAGGTACCCGGTCTTGGGACACATCAGCCAGTAGCAATACCTCTCTCATCACATTAAAGAGAGCACATTTGTCGTAATACTGATGACAGGGTAAACATTGCTTTTAACAGACTCAGTTCTATGAGACTGAAACTAGTCCCTAAAGTACTAAAGATGGTTCCTTTGATAAACCAATAGGATTCTTGGACCACAATTTATGAAGCCACAATTTCATTTCTTCCTCATTTATCCAATCTTTTGGACAGACATGAACATAAATACAATCAGATATTCTTTCTTTATGTAATGTTTTTTCTTTTAAAAATTAAAAATGGTGTCAATATTCTGCCAAAACATGCTAATACAACTGTGTAATGTATCTTTTCATGACCACACGTTTTTACAGTCACAGATTAAAAAAAAAACCTTGGATTCTACTGTTTACTTAATGTCAAAGGGACTTCATCCATATTTGCTATTTGTGAAAGTTCAAAATTATGTCCTCCCATCTGAAATATATGGCTGTATTAGGCACAGAGCAGTTATTTGGTGCATTTTAAATAAAAAAAAATATTGCATCTTATGCGAAGGCAAATATTTGTGGTTAATAGATAAATAAAAATTCAAAGTTTTGAACTTTAGTTTGGACTTACGTTCTTGTCTCTGTTGTTTATTTAAAACATTTTGAACAAGTGACCTCTGACCTTCCTCAGTTGTCTGTTGTGTGAAGGAAAGAATTCAAACTTTGAGGAAAAGTAACATTTACAAGTAACGTTTATGCACAAATGTCTGTGAAAGGGCTTGTGTGAATGTTTGTGTTGGAGGAGTATAAATTAAAAAAAAAACATATTTTACATGATTACTCTTGATTAATTACCTCTTTGGAGTTTTTTATGATGAGTCCTTGCAGCCTCATCATTTTACAATTTTAAACAGCTAAATATGACTGTTCTATGCTAACAGTTTCTTTTCTCACACATCTCACTTGTGGAACTCTCTTCTGGCTTCTTGCTTCCCAGACATCTTTAATATTTAAAAATTTAAATGCAATGTCATTTGTTATATTCTGTCTTCTTTCTTTTTGTTTTTTTTATTGTTTTCTCTCCTTAATAGTGTTTTTTCTTATGTTCTCTAACATTCAGTAACTGCCACATCTTAGAGGCTTTATTGCCTTGCTTGAGGTGATATGATAAAAAAGATCAAAAGTAACCATGTAACTTCCCATATTTTTCATTAATATCACTTCATGCATGCACAAGCATTTATATATATATACATATATACATATTTTGAACAGTATATTTAGGCAGCAACCCTTCACTTAGACATGTTTTAATAAATAGAAAAGTCTAGGAATGTTTGTTAAGCCTCTTTGTATGTTTCTCCTGATGTCAGGTTATTTGATGTCAGGGTGAAACTTTTGAACTTTTAATTATCTATATATAATATATATTGACTATATATAATATATATATATTATATATAGTCTATTGACTATATATAATAGTAGATGGTACAATAATAGGTTGTCTTTTAATCTAGCAAATCTTAGGTATTCTACCAAACTGACTAATCATGTGTGGAATTTAAAAGAAAAAACAACAGATATCCATTGATAATGTGGAAAATTTAAAAAAAGGCAAAACCGTACAGCAATAACCACCATATTTGCAACCTCTGCCAACAAGAAAAATTAGCAATTATGACATTTCCAGATCCCGAAAACCTTTTAAACCAGAAATCCAAAGTCTTAAGTCCTTGCTTACATATCAGAAAATTTTTCTTAAGTGCATATGAGGCTGGATAAAAATAATGTAATGTAAACCCCCTAACGATGCATTTACAATACACTTGCTTATCTTCTCTTCCTTCTTTTTTTTCTTCTTCTTCTTCACATCCTCCTCCTCCTCCCTTTCGATTACAGCAAACATCATGTGTTTATTTATTTTTTTAAATAATAATGTAGCGTTCTTTAGTTTTTTTTAAAACGAAAAAAAAAGCATTAGGTGGTCATTTGATAAAAAATCGCGTGAGGATAATGAAACCAAAGTAGCAGATTCAACTGACCTTCTGATTTTTAAAGTATATAGATCAGTTTTAATATTTTATATTATTAGGATTCATAGATTATTACCTATAAATTTTACTTATATATATATATATATATATATATATATATATATATATATATAAAATATGTACGTAATTTTTTTTTTATGTGTGTGTGTGTGTATATATATATATATATATATATATATATACACATATGTGTATATATATATATATATATATATATATATATATATACATACAAAAAGAAAAAATTATGTATATATTTTTTATTACTAATATCATTATATTTAGTGGATACACATGTTTGAGTAGACATCTTGTTTTTGAAAACAGTGTAATTAACATCTACTGGCATAGATATTCGGAAGTTTTAATAAAGAAAATTAGACTTTTAGTGATGGTCATACCTGATTCCCTCTTTTTAATATTTTTGTTGTCTATTCTCTAAGAACAAAAAAAATGTGTGGGTGGGGAGTAGAATGAGAAGAAAGGGTGGGGAAAATAGAGAGAAAGGGAGTAGGGAATAGAAAGAGGCAGGTGGGTGAAAAGAAAGAGAAAGGGGTTGGGGAATAGAGAGAGAAAGAGAGTAGGTGAAAATAGAGCGAATGAAGATGGAGGAGATAGAGGGAGAAAGCCTGTGAGGAAACAGAGAGAGAGAGAAAGGGGGAAGTGGGGGTTGGGAAACCGAGAATGAAAGGAGGTGGAGTGGGTGAAAAAGAGAGAGAAGGTAGATGGGTGGGTGGGGTTAATACAGCGTTGTCTGTGATCGGTAAAGAATCTTAAAGTCTTACCAAAGCCATAAATAATGTCCGAGGCAGAGACATGTTTCTGCCAGATGCTTGTGTTTAGAAACTGATGGATATTTGCCCCCACAGCCATTTGGTGGCCGGTGACGAACATGACACCAACAGCATTGATGAGATCCTGGATATTCTGTGGCATGTGGTCTTGCAGACAGCCTAACCGGCGCCCAAACAGTACAGTACCAACAGCTGAAAACAAAAGGAAAATTATTCAAAAATAGGAAAAAAAGAAAATTATATTTATAAACAGATGTGCATTTGGACAACAATCCCTTTTTAATACATGTTTCATTGAAAAAACTAACAATGTATTTTGTGTATTTTTTTTATTATATTTTTGTTTTATGTGAACAAGTATTTTCTTTTTAGGACTTAATAAGTGTAAAAATAGTTCAAATGTTTGTTGGTTCCCCAGTGCTTTTGTCTAAACAATAAACCATTTTTATAAAGGATGTAAAACATGATAGGTACTCTATTTTTTATTTATTATTTTAATCAATTCACCCCAAGCAAGGTGTTAATGCCACTAAGATGCAAAGGGCTACTGCTGAGTGAAAGAGAATAAAGAAGACTTAAAAGGAACCTGAAACCCAATCCTAAACAGACAACAAGAGATAAACCCTTATAACTGTTCAAAAGACTGGTGAAGAGTGTGAACAGGACAATAAGCATTTAAATGTCATGAAACCAACATTATAAAAAATAAGAAACTAACCCTTAATAACATTAATTATGAACATGGCCACAGTGTATTGGCCATATTTGGAAATTAAGAAAATGTAAAACTTTAACACCTTTTCATACCATCTACAATAGCACATACACAATATTTATTACAGTATTAACGTATTACATCAATAATCCTTTAAAATGGTTACTACTTTTGGACAACTAATTTACAAAAATTGGATGCATAAAATAAAAACAATAAAAAACAAAACAAAAGTATCTTGTCAGACTTGTTCAAGGAAATTTTTTATATATATATATAAATGTGGACACTGAGATCAACACTAAAACCATCAATATAATTATTAAAATTAAATTGAATTAAAGTAACAAGCTCTAATTTCATCCTCAAGGAAAAATTTAGGAATAAACTAATTCCTAAATAATAATAACCTTATTCATAAATTTTTGCTTGAGGATGAAACAGGGCTTGTTACTTTAATTCAATTTAATTTTAATAATTATATTGATGGTTTTGACTCTCGTTTTTGAAACATGAAAACTCTTATGTAGCGAAGGAATCATATTTTAAAAAATAATTATAATTATATATATATATATATATATATATATATAACAATATGCATAACATATATATATATATATTTATTTATATATATATATATATATATATATATATATATGTAATGCATGCATATATATATATGTATATATATCGAGAGAGAGATAGAAAGAGATAGAGAAAGTGAAAGAGAACAAGGATAATAAGATATAGTCATTGTAAAGAGGTGAAACGAAAAAATCAAGAATAAGTGGAAAAACAAAAGTAACAAAGAATGGCTATTATTTATTATTTTTTTGGTTATTGTTGAAATTAAAAAAAAAGATTTTTTGCTTCAATACATTACATGACTTTATTTTATTCGTGCTCTACCCCCCACCCTTGTTTGTTGGTTGTTTATAATTTTTTTTACATTTGTTATTGTATATTGTTTTTCTACATACTTTAACGTGTCCATGTTTGCAACAATAATAATGTTTTGTACCACTCATAGATTGTTTATATATATATATATATATATATATATATATATATATATATATATACATAGTGATATGAAGAAATATTGCCTTAAGATGTGCTATATTAATGGGATAAAGTGCTCAATATCAGAGATAGAGCATATGTAAATATAAAAGTGAACATAGGAGTCAACACTTAGAGGTGACAGGCTGTTTCATGCTGTGGCTTGATGATTGCATCTAGCATAAAAAAAGACTGTCGCCTCTAAGTATTGATTTCTATGTTCACTTTTATATATATATATATATATATATATATATATATATATATATATATATATATACATAGATACATAGAGAGATAGATATGACTAGAATGAGATAGATAGATATGGAGAGTTTGAGTCAGATAGATAAGAAATAGCTATCATAGATAGATAGAGATATTGATAAATATGGAGAGACTGAGATAGATAGAAAAATAGATAGCAGATATGGAGAGACTGAAATAGATAGATAAAAAGATAGATAGATATGAAATAGCTGTTATAGATAGATAGATATGACTAGAATGAAATAGTTAACTAAAATAGATAGATATTTGATAGACTGAAATAGTTAACAGATTGAGATAGATAGATATGACTACAATGAAATAGATATGGTGAGTCTGAGACTGATAGAAAGATAGATATGAAATAGCTGTGATAGATAGATAAATATATAGAAATATCGATAAATATGGAGAGACTGAAATAGATAGATAGATGGATAGCTAGATAGATAGATTGATAGATAGATTTGAACAGAGATAGATGATCGATAGATTTGAACAGAGATAGATAGATAGATAGATAGATAGATAGATAGATAGATAGATAGATCTGAACAGAGATAGAGAGATAAATAGATAGATAGAGATAGATAGATTTGAACAGAGATAGGTAGATAGATAAATAGATTTGAACAGATAGATAGATAGATAGATAGATAGATAGATAGATAGAGTTGAACAGAAATAGATAGAAGGTAGATAGATTTGAACAGAAATAGATAGACAGATAGATAGATAGATAGATAGACAGATTTGAACAGAGATAGATAGATAGATAGATAGATAGATAGATAGATAGATAGATAGATAGATAGATTTGAACAGAAATAGATAGAAAGATAGATAAATTTGAACAGAGATAGATAGAAAGATAGATAGGTAGATTTGGGCAAATATAGATAGATAGATAGATAGATAGATAGATAGATAGATAGATAGATAGATAGAGTTGAACAGAAATAGATAGAAGGTAGACAGATTTGAACAGAGATAGATAGATAGATAGATAGATAGATAGACAGATTTGAACAGAGATAGATAGATAGATAGATAGATAGATAGATAGATAGATAGATAGATAGATAGATTTGAACAGAAATAGATAGAAAGATAGATAGATAGAAAGATAGATAGGTAGATTTGGGCAAAGATAGATAGATAGATAGATAGATATGTGTTTCTTTATATTCCCTATTTATAAAAGTAAATGATTGCATGATTAGTATTATTTCCTTTCAAACCAAATTGTTTCTCTTATAATCCTGCTTACATTCAGTGGCCCATTTGTAGAGTTCATTCTGTAACATTGGCACCGTGTGGTCTTCTCTGTTTCTGATCTTGTGTATTCGTTTAATTAAGTCCGAGACAATGTTGCTGAGTTTGTCTGTATAGCCAGCTGCCATTTGTGGTCGCAGGAGACGTGGCGCTATGGCACTTCGGTACTTGTGCCACTTTTCATCTGCTCTGTCAGAAGAAACAGGAAACATTTGAAACAAAGATCATCATGGTGAAACAACTGGATTAAAAAAAATGTGAAAGCAAAAACAAAAAAAAAACATGTCATTTAATTAGAATTGATCTGGTAATCCCATAGTAGATCCATTTAGTTAATCAAGTTATCTCCCTTAGCCCCTTTTTAGATCAATATTTTCCATCCAATATTCTTTTGTTTTTTGATTTTCTTTGTTTAGGCTGATCCTCTTTCATCATCATCATCATCTTGCGGCCTCAGCCAAGATTGAACTCACCAATACTTTGATTGGTGTAGTTCATAATCTTGTCAAATAGCTGAATTCTTGATGCTTCACTAGGGCTATCAAGAGTGTTTTTATCGTGACACCAACAATAAATGGACCAAGGCTCAGAGAAACTCCATTCACCCTCCTCTAAGAGCAGGTTTGAATTCAAAGTTTTTTCCTTCTCCTAGACCAGTTGCCATCCAAGGCTATAGAAGCCAGTCTGTCCTGCTATTTACCCATAGTTGGAGGGAGAAGAAAGAGGATTCACACCTTTCCCAAGGGTGTTAGCACATAAGTGGATGTAATGGATTCGACTGGAATTCGAACTCGGCTCTCCGATTCCGCAATCCAAGCCACTATCCATTACTCCACCGTGCCTCCTATTTAGAAGTATATCAACCTCTACGGGTATTTTATGCCAAAATTTAACTAATTTGTATGTAATTTTTTTTGAGAAAATAAAGGTTTTAATGATTAATTTTTAATAATTAACCCATAGCTGGGGGAGAATATATGGATTCATTCCTTTCCCAAGTGTATTCGCACATAAGTGAATATAACAAATCCAAATGGAATTGGAACTCAGCTCTTCATTTAAAAATTCTGAGCCATTATCCATCACGCCACCTGCACATCCAAGCTTTCAGCACCTGGTATTCCCATCTAGGTACTTACCAAGCTGAGATGTTTCTTAGCTTTGGGGACTGTATGGCAACAGGTGTTTCAACATGATGTGACTGAAAACCTTTTGGTTTTGAAAATTAAGAGTAAGCAATATAAGAATCAGATATATACATACATACATACATACATACATAAATATATATATATATATAATATAAAATAATATATATATTTAATATAGTATCTAATATAATATATATATCTAATATATATATATATATATATATATATATATATATATTATAATTTATAGTCAAACCTAGAGAGCCAGACAAACCTACCAAGGTTTCACCTATTTGGATCGTTTTTCGATGTTAAATATTCTCGATATGAGACATTCTCTTTTTAGTGTGTTAGTGATCCAAATGTCTTTCGAAAAACATAAGAAAAATTAACTATTTTTAATAATATGTGGAAATCTCTACGCTTTGCCTGATGAAGGTCACGAGACCGGAAACTCGTGTAGCAAAATTATGGAAAATAAAACATGATATATTTTTAAAAAATTCAATTTACAACCAAAAACGTTTGCGGTTTCTCTCCTCTTTTTAATATACACACTTTTCTCTTGTTGGAACTACTATAACCTCTCTCTATATATATTATTTTAAAAAGTTAGATAAAAAATATATATATATATATATGCTCTGTAATAAATACATTGAGCTCTATTTGTGGATCAGTTTTAATATTTTATATTATTAGGATTCACTTTGATTACTTACCCACGGATTTTTTACCTGTATATTTTATTTTATATATTTTATGTATATATGTACATTTTTTAATCATTTCATACCAAGTAAGGTGATAATGCCACTAAGACGCAAGAGGTTACTGGGAGTGAAAAGGAATGAGAAGACTTTAGTGAGGAGAAAGGTAAATAAAAGAACAGATTCAGGAAGACAGAAAATAGCGATTGGCATTGCATTTAAACTTTTGAAAATCGTAGTTGCCAAGAAAGCAAGAAACCAGAAGAGAGTTCCACTAGTGAGAAGTCTGCTAGAAGAATTTGTTAGTATAGAACTTACAGTTGCATCTTCATGTTTCAATAAAATGATGAGACCTATCTGCCAATCTAGTGCTGCACTTAAATTCTTGAGGTTGAGTCACCAAAGAGGAAAGCTCATTAGAACAATCACCGTAAAAATATTTATAGAAAAGCACAGGGGGAGCTACTTTATTGTGATGGGGAAATGATTGAAGCCGAGGTGCCAGGTCAGGACCGATATCATTGCAAACCTTTGTTTGGAATGATAACCTCATCCCAGAAATCCTGAAATATTCATTTTCTTTCTTGTTGATTCTCATATTTTACAGGAACCATCTTCAAAACAAATTCACTTCTTTATCTGATCCTCTCATATAATGAATAACTTTTTCTTTTTTTTTTTTTTTTTTAGATATATTACCCTACTGCTGAATCAATGCTTCACTATCCGATTCAGAGACTGGACTCATGACCACTAAATGAAAGTAACATCTGAAGGAACTTGAGGACTGATGGCAGGGATACATATTTGGTTACCGCTGATAGGGACGACACAGGTGTTACAAGGTTCCCCCACCACCTTTTAGGGATAAAAATCTGGGAAAATTCACTATTAGTCTGAATGCTTTATTCTTTATTAACTCAAGTAAGGCAATAATACCACTAAGGATTACTGACAGTGAAATAAAATTAGAAAACTTTAAGAGAAAGGACAATAAAAGAACAGGTTTCAAAGAGACAGATGTTGACGATCGATGTTGCATTTAATGTTTGACGATTGTAGGTGACAGGCAAGCAAAGAACTGGAAGACAGCATTACAGACAAGAAGTGAAAGAAAATAAACTATTCAAATAGAACTTACCGTTACATCTGGCTATTTCAAGAGTAAAACGATGAAAACTAGTCATCAATTTACTACTACACTTAATTTCATGAGGTTGAGTTACCAAAGAAGAAATCTCATTAGAACAATTGCTATGAAAATATATAGAGAACAAGCAGAGGGGAACTACTTTATGGTGATGTGAAAGTGATTGAAGCTAAGATTTACGTAGATGACTCACACACAGAGTGAAGAGTCAGTCATGACACGTTATGAAGCATTTCTACTTGCAAAGAATATAAAATGTTTGGAGCCTAAATTGACATTTGAAAGTTCACCAAAATATTAATATAACAACTGCTGCAAAATTTGGCCAATGTTGTGACATCTGTACAACACAATGTATGACCCTAGCAAGATTAAAACCAATACGCAGGATGGATCAAGTGGTAACAATTGCTCAAAATCAAGTTTCAGCTATCATATTTTACATAATAAAGGAGCCAGAAATAAATATACATGCATACGCAACTTATAGAAAATGTCTAAATACACAAGGCAAACATCCATAATTCACTAGATTACATCACAATAGTTATATATATATATATATATATATATATATATATATATATATATATATATATATATATATTTTTTGAAGTCATCACTCAGAGGAGACAGGCTGTTTCATACGAGATGTAATTCGTCAGGCTGCTTGACAATTGCGCCTAGCATGAAACAGCCTGTCGCCTCTGAGTGTTGACATCAATGTTCACTTTTATATTTATATTTACATATGCTTTATCTCTGATATTTAGCACTTTATCCCATAATTATAGCACACCTTTAAAATATTATATTTATTTATATATATATATATATATATATATATAATAACGAAATATATAGGTAAATGTACAAGCAGTATTTTATTATTATAGACAGCACCACTTATATATTCAATTTATTAATATTAATAATAATAATATTATTAATTAGTTTATTGATTTTCATGGAAAAAATAGAGTTACCACCCTTGATTTCCAAACGTTTTTTCTTGTCTGCTACTTTTGATAACAACAGCCTCTCTTTAAATTAGAATTTATAATTCATTCCAACCTTATTTTCAATCTAAAATGTTAATCTGGGTCTAAATTCAAATCCAAAATTAAACTACAATTCATTTAAATATTTAACACCAATCATAAATTCATAAAATATCCCATGATAACTATAAAAATGGTGTTAACCCCCAAATTACCAGTACTTGAAAATTGTGTCACCATGAAACTCAGAGTTGTTCAATTACTGTAAGATATTATATATATTTCTTAATATATATATATATATATATATATATATATATATATATATACAATAACATTTTTTCTTTTTTCTCTTTTTAGTCACGAGCAAGGCCAGCTTGGGAAAAAATATAAAAGATTTAATTATGTTAAACACACACAAATGCATACACACATAGTACAATTTTCATTATCCATCTGAAGAAGCCATAGAGGCGAAAGGCATTATCGGATATCATTTTTGTAATATACTTTCATGAATGTTTCTCCACATGACAACACACACACACACACACACACACACACACACACATATATATATATATATATAATAATATATATATATATATATATATATATATATAATAAGTTATAGTTTTAAGATATGGTATACTTATGGGTTAAAGTGCTCAAAATCAGGAACACAGTATATGTAAATATAAAAGTGGACACTGAAGTCAACACCCAAAGGCGACAGTTTGATTAATGATAAATGCCATCATCAGACACACACACACACACACACACACACACACATATATATATATATATATATATATGACCTATATCTATAAATTAAATTAAAATTAAATTTTAAATATATATATATATATATATATGATTTATATTTCATATATATATATATATATATATATATATATATGTAGATGTAGAAAGAGAGAGAGAGAGAGAGATAATAATATCAAATCCATAAATATATATCTGGTATATATATATATATATATATATATATATATATATATATATATATGCACCATTCCACACAAACTTGAAAACCCAGTCAAGGCCTATCAGACAATTTCTGTGACTACATCAATCCTTACATTTGGTCTTCTAAATATCCAGATTGTAACACCCTTGATATTTATGTGTGGGTCGCAGTTGAGTGAGAGATTAA